ATTATAGATAGATAATAGATGAAAGGTAAATTATTTCAGACGGATAGTGGCTGGTAGGGGTTTTAATACAGATGGATAGTGAAGAAACCCCAGCGCGTTCTACAAATTCCTATTATTACTCTACTATAAAATTATTGTAAGTGATATCTACTGAAGAGTGAGATCGTTTTAAACCTAATTCGACCTCCTTATTTTTGTCGTGCTGCAAAATATTCTAAGTCCTTCACTTTCCACCATAATAAAAAAATCCGGTGTTTCCCTAGTGTTGGAAATTACACCTCATGCATTTTCTAGTACATTAATTCGAAAATGCCACTTGAAAGGTTACCGATTTTGCTGTTGTATACGTTTTCTCGATTCGCTATTGTTCATCGTTACTCGAGTTTGCTGTCTCTACGTGGATTTTCGCGACTATATTTCAGCAAGTGTTTATCAGTGGACGATTACCATAGTAAATTTCCCTACTCAGACAATGGCGATGATTCTTCCTACTGTTTCTTATATTTAATTGAAATCGTATTCAGTATTTATTACCACTGCATATAACACTATTTCATATAGCTATTGCTATTTTTAAATAGTTGGTGTTAAGGTATCGGTTTTAAATATTGTCGATAATAGGCGATTTACGCTAAGTGTGTCGCTGTTGTCTATTTTGCATGCACTATTTGTGTCGCCTTATTCTAACAAACACTTGTATACAGCAAACTGTTGAAGAACATACATATGTGTCATGTAGACCTAATAAGCTAATCATGTTACTGCGTTTGTTTATATTTCATTAATCTGTGTTGTATTATCTTGGAAGAAACATTATTCCAATTTCATGTGATTGCTTTGTTGCTGCTGGTCTTTTGTTACATTACACTGTGACACTGATGGAAGCCAGTCTTTAAATTTCTAATGATACAATCTTTGCCTTCAAGATGATGCTTTGAGAACAACTTTACATTTTCTTCGTTGTAGTTACATACCAGTACATGTGTTTATTCTTTATTGTATATTTGTTATTTATTTTGAATAAGTTCAGTGTGGTGGTTGGGTGGAAAAAAAAGCCAATGGAGCAGTAAACTGTTGAAAAACATGTAACATTCAACTGAACGTATATGCACGTATGTAGCTTAAAATGTATTGTCCATAAATGGACATAAAAAAACTTATAAAACAAGCTATTAGAAATTGCTAATTTAGAAAGGAGGAATAGCGATCATCAAAAAAGTGCAAAAACAGGTTGAATCAAAATGCAAAGATTATATTTTTAATCCTACAACATGGACTCTAAAAAAAGTAAACAAACTAGGCTGGAAATAATGTCTACATTGTTTTCTCGAGCTACAAATCCATATTTTGACTCCACTAAAATTTATAAGTACTGTAGACATGAAGTCAAAATAAGTTTTGTTCGTTTGAATATACGCACAAAGCTACACAATGGGCTATCTGTACTCTGCCCACCACGGATATTGAAACCCGGTTTCTAGCGTTCCGCAGACATGCCGCTGTGCCACTGGGGGGCGTCAAAATAGTGATTTGTAGCTTGAGAAAATAACGTAGACACGATTTTCAGCCTAGTTTAATTAATTTTATCAATAAGTCGGTACGGAAAGCCTTGATTCAAGACCGTTTTATCTGTATGAAGGCAAAATAAGATATCCTGGTAATATATTGTAAAATACTCTTACCTTGCCCATACGTTTGTAAAAAAGAGGAAAGCGATTATCGTCTGGATGAGAATTTTCGTCAAAAACTCCGTATCTATATTTGATCCATGCTCTTGCTAGGTGGCGTGCTGAAAATGTTAAAATAAATTGTCAATATAGTATAACTTACATATAAAGAAATTACACTGTGTTCTGCTATGTGTATTCATTTTAAAAACTAATAAACCAGTCCAGAAATGTTTCGTGTCAAGCGTAATATTGTTATCCTACACTGAAAACCTAAAATGTAACATACAGCGTTCCTAGTTTCCGTAGTTAATAGCTTTCAAGTAACTCCTGACAACTTTAGACCATCGTTACAGGCGAAACCATCACAAAATATAGATTAATGAAGACTAAAGTTTAATAGTTTGTCATTTGTTGGCTAGATTGTAAGTGAACTAAAACCAGGGAAAATCATAGTTTGGTCTTTGAAATGTTCTTGATGAAGATACCAGAAACAGAAGTACGTACATGTAAAATATAGTATTTTTACCATTTGATCGTGGTTTTGTATTTGTATATGATAGATGACTATATAAATAATACAGTTATATCTGACCGTATAAAATAATATACTAATATTTGACTGTATAAATAATACATAATAATCGAACTGTGTAAATAAGTCTTCGGATTTACAACGCTAAAATCAGGGGTTCGATTTCCCCTCGGTGGACGCAGTAGATAGCCCATTGTGGCTTTGCTATAACAAAAGACAAACAAACACACACAAACATTTACACATATACACACACAAACAAAAGTAGTGAAAATTGTTAATATTAAAAAGGGGGAATTGGGATCATAGAAAAAATAAACGTTTGTAAAATAATGTAAACAAACCATACATCTCTAGTAACGGTAAACCATACATCTATAGTAACAGTAAACCATATATCTGTAGTAACAATAAACCATACATCTGTAGTAACAGTAAACCATACATCTGTAGTAACAGTAAACCATATATCTGTAGTAACAGTAAACCATATATCTATAGTAACAGTAAACCATACATCTGTAGTAACAGTAAACCATACATCTATAGTAACAGTAAACCATACATCTGTAGTAACAGTAAACCATACATATGT